GCTGTAAAATTGCAGTTGTCTCCATTATCTTCACATAACAGAGAGGGGGGATCTAAAAGTTATGAGTGGGGTTCTGATTTATCACAGTTGTGAGCCAAAATGTTCTCCCTTCCATCAGCAAATCCACAAATTCATATAAACTGAGTAAATGATCCAAGGTCATAGAAACCGATCTAATTAGGAGCTAAGGTAATTTCAAAAAATAGAATTAGAAGCATATTTGTAGTGCAGAACAAGAATCTAGCATGTCTTTTAAATCAAAATGACTAGTATAAAAGTATTACTTTCTGCATTTGTATCTGAACTCTTTATCAGACACACCAATGTTCTCTGCAATACACCTTTATTTTTCTCCTCCTGTTCTATTTTCCCTGTCTGGGTTTTGTCTAGAGAAATTAGGCTATAAAGTTTTTCACTTCCAGTTTTAGTTGATTGGACTTACTTTTGCCTTTTCGGTCAAGATTTGTTTTCTTTTTCTTTTCTTTTTTTTTTTACAGAACCTTTCACTCTGGACTATATCTACAAAGAGGTCCAGATAGGATAGGATCTGTCTATAAAAAGGCTTTATATTATCAGTACACTGATGATACATTTCAGACAATGATTGAAAAACCATCCTGGTTGGGATTTCTAGGTCCACTATTGAAAGCAGAGACCGGAGACTACATTTATATACATACAAAAAATTTTGCTTCAAGACCCTATAGTATTCATCCTCATGGACTCACCTACACTAAAGAAAATGAAGGTAAGATGAACATTATTTCCTTCCTTCCCTGAGTTGTTGCTTAGGCCCTAAGGAAAAACAAGGTAATCATGAATGGTCACCTTTATGCAATACAGGTAATTACATAAATACAGGGAGCACTGGGTGAACGCAGACTCTTGCTTCTGATGTCTTTAATGTTTATCACCAAGACAGCCCTTTTCAATTTCTCATTTTGAATGAATAAGCATCTGCATGCAATTTCCAAGGAAGAACATGCAATTTTCCCTCATGAATGAAAATAATTTTATTTATTTAATTTTTAAAGGAGACACTCATGAGCTAAATATCGGTTGGGTGGGCAGAAATATTGTCTGCTCTCGACTTACTCCTATTTCCTACTATATGAGAATCAGCTTCTTTGACCACATCAGCTTCTAGATAAATCACTGCATATCATTGTCTTCTCTCCTACATGTCTGCACTCAACATCTGCCTAATGATTTCAGAAAAGCCAATAGAAAGCAACAAAGAAAGCTAAAAAAGAGAGAGCTTTTGTTTGACACCTAAACAAAGATCACCATGAGTCAATTCCAACTTAGAATTTCCTTGTGTTGTTGCTGTGATTAAGAGCCATCAAGTGAGTTTCAATTCATAGTGACCCTGTATAGGGTTTCTGAGTGGGTGGTGGGTTTGAACCATCAACCTTATGGTTAGAAGTCCAGTGCTTATCCTACAGCACCACATCAAGATTCCATAGGACAGAATGAAACTTAGGGTTTACAAGACTGTAAATGTTTATGGGAGCAGACAGCCTCATCTTTCTCCTTCAGAGCAGCTTGTGGATTTGAACTGGCTCCTGTGCTATTAGCAGCCCAACACTTAACCACGGCATCATCAGGACTCCAGTAGGTGTAAAATTGAGATTTTTTTTCTCCTGCATTTGAAATATTTTTAATTTAAATATTTAAAAAATTAGAACGTTAACCCAACTTCAGAAGAGGACCACTTATAGAGGGCGAATGTTCTTATAACAGAGGTCTGCTTCGATTCTATGAAAACATAGGGCAATGGAAACATTTCATTTCACTCCATTCATCTTTCATAAGTATCTTGTCATGCTGTGTGTAACATCTTGCAATAACTATCTCTTGAAAATACAGACATATGAGTGTAATGGGGTAAATATTAACAAGAATTATTTTATCAAGACTTAAAACTTGAACTGACATCCCCTAGGGCAGAAAGAAACTGCCTGGGTGAATTGAGAAGGTAGACACTGACCCTAAATTATTTCTCTGAATAAGACAGAGGAAACTGCACTAGCTCCAAATGGAAAGAAGGGCAGGAGAGAGTGTGTGAGTCAGTTAGTCACAAATCAGCAAATTGCTTTGTGTTCAATTTGGAGTCAAAGGGTCTCAAAAGATGGGCAGAGGATGAGATTGGTCATAATTCAGAGTCTTTTATTAAATTTATTGTGGTTATGTTGTTAGATGCTGTTGAGATACTGTACACAGTGAAATTAGGAACAACAGAACTAATCTCTGCCTAGTCCTCTTGCCATCCTCACAATCGTTGCTATATTTGAGTCCATTGTTGCAGCCACTGTATCAATCCATCTCGATGAGGATCTTCCTCTTTTTCACTGACCCTCAGTACTTTACCAAAAATGATGTTGTTCTCCAAGGACTAGCCCCTCTTGATAATACGTTTAAAGTATGTAAGATAGTGTCTAGCCTCACTTCTATGAAGCATTCTGGCTGTACTTCTAAGACAAAATTGTACTTTCTTATTGTTCTTTCAATATTCTTCACCAACACCATAATTTAGATGCATCAATTGCTCTCCAGTCTTCTTTATTCATTGTCCAGCTTTCACATGCGTATGAGACGATTGAAAATGTCAGAGCTTAGGTCTGGTGCCCCTTAGTTTTCAAAGTGACTTTTTTTTTTTTGCCTTTTTAACACTTTAGAAGAGGTGTTTCACAACAGATTTGCCCAATGCAATACTGTCTTTGATTTCTTAACTGCTCTTTCCAAGAGCATAGATTGTGGATCCAAGTAAAATGAAATCCTTGACAACTTCAATCTTTTCTCCCTTTATCATGATGTTGTTTATTGCTCCAGTTGTATATTTGTTTTGTTTATGGTGAAGCATAATCCATACTGAGAGATATAGTCTTTGATCTTCATCAGTAAGTGCTTCCAGTTCCCTTTACTTTTAGTACACAAAGTTGTGTCATCCCTATTTCAAGGGTTGTTAAAGAGTCTTCTTGCAATCCTGATGCCACATTCTTCAGCATATAGTCCTGATTCTTGCATTATTTGCTCAACATACAGATTGAATAAGTATGATGAAAGATATAACCCTGACACACACCTTTCCTAATTTTAAGCTATGAAGTATCTGCTTGTTTTGTTTGAATGACTGCTTCTTGGTCTGTATACAGATTCTGCATGAACACAATTAAGTATTCTGCAATTTCCATTCTTTGCAAGGTTATTCATGATTTGTTATGATCCACACAGTTGAAAACCTTTCTATAGCCATTAAAACACATGTAAACATCTTTCCGGTATTCTATGCTTTCAGCCATAAAATATGACATCAGCAATAATATCTCTCAATTCACATCCTCTTCTAAATCTGGCTTGAATTTCTGACAGTTTCCTGTCTGTATATAGCTGCAATCATTTTTAAATTATCTTCAGTTAAATTTTACTGGTGTATAATATTAATGTTATTGTTTGATAATTTTATCATCCTGTTGAATCATCTTTCTTTGAAATGGGCACAAATATGGATTTCTTTTAGTGGGGTGACCAAGTAACTGTCTTCCAAATATCTTGGTTTTGTAATTTTGTTGAAACATCTCAATCTGTATTCTGTCAATTCCTGGATTTTTTTTTTTTTTTTTCCCATTGCATTCAGTGTAGTTTGGACATCTTCCTTCAATACCATTCCATTCATTCTGTATCATATGCTATCTCATGAAATGAATGACTGTTGACCGATTAATTTTGGTGCAGTGATTCTGTGTATTTATTCTTTTTATGTATTTATTTATTTTTAAGATTTCTGAATTATTCAAAACGTTATCCATAGAACGCTTCAATATTGTAACTCAAGGTTTGAATGTTTTCCTCAGTTCTTTCAGCTTGAAAAATGTTAAGCCTGTTCTTCTCTTTTGCTTTTCTAAGTCCAGGTCTTTGCACATTTCACATTGATATTTCACTTTGTCTTCTCTAGTGACCCTTTGAAATTCTCTCTTCAACTCTTTTATTTCATTATTTCTTTCATTTATTTTAGCTACTTGGCATTCAAGAGCAAGTTTCAGAGTCACTTAAACTTTTATTTTAAAAAAGAACTTTATCTGTAGTTAGCAGGATCCCAGTCTCAATAAGCGGGAATCTGAGGCCAATTGTTGCTAAAGAAAAAGAAAGACAGGAAATCAAGGCTCCAATTCAGAACTGAGGTTCTAACTCAGGAAATGTAAACAATCCAGAGAACCACATTAGGACTTCTGAGGCTACTTAGGAGGTAACATGGGTACCTCTCAATGACCTGGGTCTTGAGTCTAACTAGAAATCGGTATTATAGAGGACAACTCAGGATCCCAGAGGTCCTTTCTGTGTACTAGATCTAGGCATGCATTAGGTACACAATAATATTTGTGAATGAATCAATAAAGGTGGTGAGAGATGAAAGTGATACTGCTTGCCTCCTTCCAGTTTGTTCAAGAAACTGTGACAAAGCTAAGCATTCAGGGGGAATTCAACTAAAGGTGATCTAGGGAAAGGAAAGGGGACAGAAAGGAAGGGAAGAGAGGGTAAAAATACAAATTCGCATATAATTATGGCTCTATGGAAAAGACAGGAGTACATTCAAAATAGTGATATTTAATTGTTACTGTGACCACAATGCAGAGTCTGTTTTCCAGGTGCTCTTTATCCTGATAATAGCACAAGACTGCAAAAGGAAGATGATCATGTGAAACCCGGAGAAGATTATACTTACAGGTGGTATGTAGATGAAAATCAGGGACCTGGCCCCAGTGACTCTAATTGTGTGATAAGGCTTTACCACTCCCATTTTGACACTGTCAAGGATGTGGCTGCAGGACTTGTTGGACCAGTTTTGACTTGTAAAAAAGGTAATGCATTATTTTAAATCTCAAACTATAGCAATAAAGCTAACCTGAATGAGTGGGCTTCCCTGTTCTACCCTGGTGGAATTTTGATCCATTTTTCCGGCCTTGATCTCCGTTCTCCAGTTTAAGGATATGAAGTCGCCATCTTGGACTCTAAGCACTAGATGGAGATGCTGAATCCAACCTCTCAGTTCAAGTTGAGAAACACAAGTTGGTCACTAGATGGTAGTCAAACCCAGCAAGCTCTACTTTAACACTTTCATACAGTTACTCCTGTCACTTTTCTCCCTCCTTCAGAGATTGAAATCAGCAGAAAACAAGTTGATGCCTTGATTCTAACTCACAGCGACCCTGTGTGTGTGTTAGAATACAACTGTGCTCCATAGGGTTTTCAGTGAGTGATTTTTCAGTAGTAGATCATGAGTCCTCTTTTCCAAGGTGGTTCTGGGAGGACTCAAACGTCCAAACTTTGAGTTACAGTAGAACCAATTAACCATTTATACACCTAGAGAATCAGCTGCGTGAGAGGAAATAGGAAGATGAGAAATCCTCTTCCTGTTCCTTGAATGTTATATTCCTTAGGCTCCAGCCATGGAAGTGCAAGGTTTTACTTTAATGTTTTAAGTTAGAATCATCAGTCTATTTTATTCCAAAATGATTCTTGCAAGGAGTAGTTTTCCTGATATGTTTCTAATTTATAATTTTTATATTCTGTTTGGGATCATTCATATTAAGACCAATGAGGTTACAGGGCTCAATTGATTATGAAGTTAGTGAGCAAATCTAGCTTCCTATGACAATCAAGGTTTATAACTGCAAGTGAACAAACTGCTCTCTACAAATGATGGGGTGATAGTTGTTTGCCATAGAGTCGGTTCCAATTCATAGCAACCTTGTAGAGGATTTCCATGGCTATAAATTTTTACAGGTGCAGAAAACCTCGTCTTTTTTCCATGGAGTAGCTAGCTGGTAGATTCAAGCTACTGATTTTGTAGTTAGCAGCCCATCTCATAACCCACTATGCTACCAGGGCTCCTTCTCTACAATTGCTATTTAACCATTGTAGTTTCCTATAACAAGTACATTTAGTCTCAAGGTACCAGACTATGTTCCTTAGGAGATAACTTTTTAAATCAACTTTTGAAAACAAGGTCTTTGTCTTTAAATTTTCAAGGAACTCAGCTGTATAATGACAAGACACAGGAATGTATAAATGTATATATAAATAAAATTTATGTAACCTGGTATGAATATTTCCAAACTTTCCTTTCATTTACTGGCACATTACAAATACTCAAGAAATATTTGTTGAATGCATGCAAAAATGGATAAACTAACTGACATAAATACCAGTTGTGCTAAATTTGAGGAAGCACAAAGTTTGAGATATAAAACAATCTCATATGATAATTGTTATTAGATGTGATCACTTTAAAAACATATTCATTTGAAGTAAAGATGAATATGGAGTCTTTAAGTTTGGCTTCATATATATAAAATGTGGATGGTTTGCTGTTGTTTCCTTGGGACTACCACACTTCAAACATTTTCCTGTTTCATGTGTCCTCTAATAATTAGCAAACACTGTAAGTCACTATTTTCAAATAAAAGTTGTATTTTTTTAACACTGGCATTGTTTATTAACTATATGCAAAATAAGAAATTTATTCTCTTTTTCAGGGACACTGCATGGAGACATTCAGATAAATCTCGACAGGTCTTATATTCTGCTGTTTTCTACAGTTGATGAAAATAATAGCTGGTATATAGATGACAATATTAATGCATATACTGAACCTGGCACAGTTAATACAAGTGATCCTGAGTTTCAAGAGAGCAATAAAATGCATGGTAGGATTACAAAGATATTTCTCATTCATAATATCCTGTAATTCTATTTTCTGTGGTTCTCTTTAGTGATTCCCTCTGCTCAACTTTGTTTAGGGAGCTTATATTTTTCAGCATTTTAACTAGGGAGTACAAGTTGATATGCAGAGCATCTAGTAAATCTTGCTTGTTGCCAAAGTTTTATAGCAAGTAAATCTAGATAGAGAAATCTGTTTCCTGAAATCTTATATTAATTAAAACTAGATGTTTAAAACAAGGAAAGATACCATTTTAACATAATCATATGCTATGCAAGAATATGAATATAATGGATCCAAGACTTGATAAGATGGCTCCCCAATATCCTGTTCTTCCCTACTGTAGAACTTCACATATAATATTGTATTATTTCTTTATTAATGGTGTCCTCCCTAGATTATGCAAATGCATTTCTACCCAATATAATTGTTCAGAAAGGATGCTTTCAGAATCTCAGAGTCTCAATCACTTTGATCCTCACTTTCTTCTTTTATGGACTTAGCTTCCTTATCTATTCATTTCCCCTTTCCTCTTACTTCCCTACTCCTTTGGCTAAATCTTTGTTTTCCTGTCACTTTTGATCTTGTGCAGTGTTTATGGCAGGATTTATATTTATTGAAACACTAATCAGATATTGCTGTGAATTACGTATGAGAACAGTACCGATGCTGCAAGTTTTATATAGTAAGACAATGTATAAAATGTCTCTGTGGCACTGATCTACCATGTTATATAGGCTAATGTGTATTTGTTTCCAGCCATCAATGGATATATGTATGGAAACCTGCCCAATCTCACCATGTGTGAACAAGACAGAGTCAGCTGGTATTTTCTTGGCATGGGTGATGTGTCTGACACACACCCCATTTATCTCCATGGACAAACTCTAATCTATCGGAATCACAGAAAGGACACAATCACTGTATTCCCCGCCTCAATGGAAGATGCCTTCATGGTGGCCAAGGGCCCTGGAGAGTGGTTGTTGGGCTGTCCAATATACGGTAGGGAATTTTTACTTGTGTATAATGCATTATCAGAGAATGGCCAAAGTTACAACCTATTCTAATTGCCTCATTTTATAAATGAAGAAACTGATATCTAGTGTGGTAACATAATTGTCTCTTGGAATATTTGACAAAGATAAGAATAGAACCAAGGTTCTGACATCTTCACTCACTGATAATAACCCCTCTTAAGTATATAGGTTTTTAGTTTAGTTTTTACAAAATACATTTATATCCATTAGTGTGTGAGCTCCACATAAACCCTAAGTACAAGGCAGAAAAAGGATGAATATATATTATGTATATTAAAATTAAGAAAACAAGTTTCAAAAGGGTAAATTATTTGCATAAACCTTTTTAACAAGCAGAGCCAGAATTTACACAGGCCAAAGAACCCTAATACAAATAAACAAATAAAAATCATTGCTGTCACATCTATTGTTATTCAGGGTGACCCCATGTGTTACAGAGCAGAACTGCTCCATACAACATAGGATTTTCTTGGCTGTAATATTTTATGAAAGTATATTTCCAGGCCTTTCTTCTATCCTTTCTATCACCAAGGCTATATTTTCCAACTACCGATCCTTCCTCTTTGTTTCCAGCCTTTGCATTCCAAAGTAACTACTGATCCTTCATCTTTGTTTCCAGCCTTTACATTCCAAAGTAGTTATCACTATATCTTGATTTTATGTTTGGTCAATTTCAAACTGAAGAAGTTAGTAGAATTCTTCAATTTCATCAGCATTGACTTTGATGGTTGGTGCATAAATTTAAATAATAGTGACATTAACTGGTCTTCCTTGTAGACATATTGATATTATCCTATCACAGACAGCATCATACTTCAAGATAGATCTTGAAATGCTCTTTGTGATGATGAATGTGGTGCCATTCTTCTTCAAGTTGTCATTTCTAGCATAGTAAACCATGTGATTGTCAGATTCAAAATGGCCAATACCAGCCCATTTCAGCTCACTAATACCGAGGATGGAATCCTGGTGTGGCACTGCAGGACAATGCACTTAGGGAGTACAAGTTGATATGCAGAACATCTAGTAAATCTTGCTTGTTCCCAAAGTTGTAGTTTTTAACACTGGCATTGTTTGTTCAAGGACAGTTTGAAACCCAAGGCCAGCAGTTCATACCCCTCAGCCACTGTGTGAAACCCTATACAGGGTTGCTATGAGTCAGAACGGACTCTATGGCACTTAACAACAGCAATGTCTAGGATTATAGACATTTATGCATTCCATTTCATTTTTGACAAGTTCTAGTTTTCCTAGATTTATACTTCATACTTCCTGTTCCAATTATTAATGGACGTTTTCAGCTATTTCTTTGAGTTGTGCTCCATCAGCAAATGATGGTCCCAAAAGCTTTACTTCATTCACGTCATCAGTCATCTCTACTCTGAGGCCACAACACTTTCCCAGTCATATTCTGAATGTCTTCCAAGCTGAGGAGTTCATCTTGACACTATACCGGACAATATTCTGATGCCATAATCATGTTTCGATTTTCGATATTCAATATTCTGGTGCTCTCTGACAGTGTTTCACTGCTACTCTAAAGGTTTCCAATGGTTCAACATTCTAAAGTAGTCCACCTCTTCTTCCCAAGTCTGTCTTACTCTGGAAGCTCAACTGAAACCTTTCCACCATGGGTGGCCCTGCTAGCAAAGCTGGAATCAATAAGTCCAACAGACTAATATAACATGTGAACCTTAGATACCATGACTCTGAGACGAGAAGAACTAGATGATGCCTGGCTACCGTTACTGACTGCTTGCAAAGGAATCACATTACAAGGTCCTGGATAGAGCAGCAGAATGTGTAGAACAAAACTCAATTTTTTTTTCTTTTTTAAAGAGGCAAGGCTTACTGGTCAGAATGAGGGTGGAGGAAACTGATACTATGGCCCTTGACCAACCTATGAAGGAACTCACCCTCGTGGCTCAATTTTCAGTCATGCAGTAAATATAGCAGGGAAATAACATTAGTAAGGTATGCCCACCATGGAATAGTCAATCATTCAAGCTCAAACGGGCACTTACCTAAGGACAAAGTTGAGAAGGGATGGGAAAGAGAGTGGAATGGAATTAGGAGCCACAGGGAAAAAGCAGGGTAACCGTTGTTGAATGCAGGGAATGGTAATCATTGAGATGAAACAAAGTACATGATCGGTTGAATGTAAAAATGGTAATCTTGTTTGTAAATCTTCATTCAATTTATAATAAAAAGTTTTAAAATTAAAAAAAATTAAATTAAATTCCTGAAATTTCTCAAAAAAAGGGGAAATTCAATGTTGTTGGCTAACATTAAAAATGTATAGGGACACAGAAATTTTTAATAACCTTCTTCACTTGGCTTACTGTATTTCAGAGAGTATGCAGGCCTTTTTCAATGTAAGGAATTGCCAAAATACTTCGACGAATGTTACTGGAGAAAATGTTATTCATTACTACATTGCTGCTGAAGAAATTCTTTGGAACTATGCTCCATCTGGTATAGATTTCTTCACTGGAAAAAAATTAACAGCACCTGAAAGGTATCATTCATTGTTTGAGATATTTATGGTTAAGTAATAAAGATAATTTAATGTTTTTATAACAAACTACCTCTAAAAGGAAGTCCTGGTGTGGCACAGCAGGATAATAAATTGGACCACAAGGTCTATTTGAAATACAAGATTGGTGTTCAACCTCACCAATCTCTCCTCAGATACCCTAGAGAGCGTCACTATAACTCAGAACCGACTTGATGGCACTTAACACCAACAACAGCAACCTCTAAAAAAAGATTTAAGGCACCTTATAATAAAAACACTTATAATATCAACACTCATGGAAGGAGCAGAAATCAAACAACGCATTGTATTAGGCAAATCTGTTGCACAAGACCTTTTTAAAGTGTTGAAGAGCAAAGATGTCAGCTTGAGGACTAAGGTGCATCTGACCCAAACCACAGTATTTTCAATAATCTCATATGCATGCAAAGGCTGGACAGTGAATAAGGAAGACCGTAGAAGAATTGATACTTTTGAGTTATGATGTTGGAGGAGAGTATTGCAAGTGCATTGGGCTGCCAAAAGAACTAATAGATCTGTTCTGGAAGAAGTGCAGCCACAGTGCTCCTTAGAGGCCAAGATGGCCAAACTTCGTCTCTCATACTTCAGACATAGTGTCAGGAGGGACCAGCTGCTGGAGAAGGATATCATATTTGGTAAGGTGGAGGGTCAGAGGAAGACCCCCAATGAGATAGATTGGCCAAGTGTTAGCATTGATGGACTCAAGCGTGGCAACTGTGGTGAGGTTGGCCCAGTATCGGGCAGTGTTTCGTTCTGCTGTGCATAAGGTCACAATGGGTGGGTACTGACTTGATGGCACCTAACAACAACAAATAATAATAATAATAAAAACATACTAATGAAGCAAGACTTCTATGATAAGAGCATAACTCCATATAGTAAACTAAGGATAGGAAGGAGTCAAGATATGGCATTGTAAGATCATGCACTGGACCAAAAGATTGGTTTGAACGACAAGGTCTGCAATTCAAACCCATTAGCTGCTCCTTGGAAATGCTACACAGGGTCGCTATGACAGACTTGACAGAATTTAATAAAAACAACAAAAGTTAGGAAAGGAGCCCTAGTGGCACACTGATTAAAAACGCTCAGCTGTTAACCAAAGAACAGCAGTTCAAACTCCTGGGGTGGGTGGGGGGAGGCCCGGGGGGAGTTGTGGCAGTCTGCTTCCATAAAGATTAAAGCCTTGAAAACTGTATGGGGCCATTGTACTCTGTCCTTTAGGGTTGGTATGAGTCAGAATCAACTCATACCAACCCTAAAGAGCTGCTGTTGTTGCTGTTAAGTGTCTTGGTTTCGGTTCTGACTCATAACTGTCCTGTATAGGGTTTCTGAGGAGTGACTGGTGAGTTAGAACCATCAAACATGTGGTTCTGTAGGAAAAAATTATACCAGATTATCTAGGCTAACCACCACTTATCTGTCAGTTTGTCATACTGCGGTGTCGTGCATGTTGCTGTGATTCTGGAAGCTATGCCACAGGTGTTTTAAATACCAGTGGGTCACCCATTATGGACAAGTTTCAGCTGATCTTACAGACAAAGACAAAGTCTTCACAAGGAAGAAAGAGAGACAGAATACTTCCATATATGTAGTCACTGAAAACCTGATAAATAGCAGTGGAACACTGTCAGTACCAGAACACTGACTATTGAAAAATGATAAAGACCACCAGAATATTGTCACATATAGTGCTGGAAAATGAGACTCTAAGGTTGGAAGGCACTCAAAATACAACTGAAGAAGAGCTGCTTCCTTAAAGTAGAATTGAAATAGATTGGAATACAGAGGCTGGAAACAAAGAGGAAATATCAGTAGTCGTAAAATATGGCCTTGGTGTTAGAAATTAAGCTGAAGATCACATGATAGAATCACATGCAAGACTTCTTCATTACAAATACCTTTGTAAAACAATATATACATTGCCTGAAAAAAGGCTGAAAGGATATCCATGGAAAATGTTGGGAGTGGTCATATATTATTGTTGTAGTTAAATACCACTGAGTTGGTTCTCACCCACAGCAACCCTGTATAGGGTTTTTGAGGAGCAGCTGGTTGGTTTAAACCACCGACCTTGAAGTTAGCAGTCCAGTACTTATCATATAGCGCCATTCCAAGACTCCATCAATAGATGGTAGGATGGATAATAAAGATTTTAATCTTTGTTATATTTCTCTTTATTTTCTAAATTTTCTCAATGAACATGCATTGTTTTATAATCAGAACAAATTACAAGCATTTTAAATGAGATGTGTGTAGATTCTTACTTTCCTTTTGCTTTGTCACTGTAAATATAAAAGTTCTTTGTGTATGTACTTTCTACACACAGTGAATCAAAACTATATTTTGAAGAAGGTGCTACCAGAATTGGAGGAACTTACAAAAAAATAGCTTACCTTGAATACACAGATGCTTCCTTCACGAAACAGAAATCAAGAGAAGAACACCTTGGGATCCTTGGTAAAATTCTATTCACAAGTTTCTCAGCTATAAATGCCATTTACACTCTTTCTAAACAAACTGAACAACTCACAGTTTTAGAGATTTTGTCATTATCTTATAATCTTATGAAAGCAACGCCTTCTGATTCACCCAATGATCTTAACTACATTTTTTGTTCCTTAAATCCAATGAGATGAATGTATTTACGTGATCCAAAGTGACTTTCCAGCACTCTGAATCATCTAGCTCTCTTACACTTTTTGGACACATTCTGGATTCATAACAGCATCACTTTAATTTATTCCTCTGAGAGAAACCACCTGCTGTTCAATCACTTCTGATTCAGCAACCTCATGTGTGTCAGAACAGAACTGTGCTCCACAGAGTTTTCAGTGGAAGTAGTTCACCAGGCTTTTATGTTTTCAAGGTGTCTCTGGGTGAACTCAAACCTCCTACATTTCTGCTAGTAGCTAAATGTGTTAACTGTTTGTACCATTCAGGGACTTTGCTCAAATAATACAACCTGACAATTACTGTTTATGAAAACCAAGGACAATGATCACCCCTTTTGGTTTCCAGGCCCAGTCATTAAGGCAGAAGTGGGACAGACCATCCGAGTCACTTTCTATAACAATGCTTCACTGCCGCTCAGCATTCAACCTCACGGGCTTCATTATAGCAAGAGCAATGAGGGTTCGTTCTACCTAACACCTGGAGAAAGTAAGTAGAACTCAAGGAGAGCCCAAGCAAATTATGTTGGTGTTGTGTTCTGTCTAGCAATCCTGACTAGCTGACAGAGTCGAACTTCCTCGGAGTTCCCTACACTGAAATCTTTATATTGTTGTTGTTAAATGCTGTTGAGTCATTTCTGACTCATAGTAATCCTGTATAGAGTTTCTGAAAAGTGACTACTGGTGAGTTTGAATCACCAAACCTGTGGTTCAAACCAACCTTGCGGTCCAGTGTTTACCCTACAGCACCACACCAAGAGCAGATAATGTCAGCATTATCTGATAAAATTGCAGTACGGCCTGCTTTTCACATCATAACAACTCTGTGTCCTCATCATGGCAGTAACTCCTTAAGTTTCCCACCCCACTAGCACCCAAGGTGCTCCAAGGTGAGCGAGATCCAGTCCTTGCACACACAAACCTCATAATCTAGTTTAGGGCTCTTATTGTAATAGGTTCTCTTTTATAAATGTATGTTTCTTCCTAGGTAGCCCTGCTCCTTCCTCACATGTAAATCCTGGCACAACATTTGTCTACACGTGGCATGTTCCCACAAACGTGGGTCCCACCTCCACTGATCCTGATTGTTTGACCTGGATATATTACTCCTCAATGACGGAACAAAGAGACACCAGCAGTGGCCTCGTAGGACCTCTTCTCGTGTGCAGAAATGGAAGTCTTGGAGAGGATGGCAAACAGGTAAGTCATGAGGTCTACAACCAGGTATGTCTTGGTGAAGGATGGCCTGAGACAGAACTACACAGGAACAGCAATGTCCCAAGTCCTGAGAATCAAAGGTTTCTCTGTGCTGATATCTCCCAGTTTTATTCCTTTCTGAACTTCACATCTATGTCTCCTTCTGCCTGATAAACACCCACCCTGGCAGGTCCCAAAGATACCTCAAATTTAACGTGACTATTTTAACCAGTGGCACAGATGGTTAAGCCACTGACTATTAACCCACTCAGAGATGCCTCAGAACAAAGACCTGGCAATGTATATGTTCATAGCCTTCTAGTCTGATGCACATGAAATCATCATGAGTTATAATCAACTCAACAGCTACTGGTTTGGTGTTTTGGTTATTGTAACCATAATTCTCCCTTTTAATAGCAACTAACCACCCCTTTGGAGTCCTGGTATTGTGCTGTGGGTTAATGCACTGGACTGCAAAGTCAGTTTGTATCACAAGGCCTGTGGTTCAAGTTCACCAGCTGCTCTTTGGAAACCCTATACAGTGTCACTATGGGCTCTAAGACACTTAACAACAACAACCCCTTTGGAGTCCTGGTGTGGTGCTGCAAAACAAGATTACTAACTACAAGATTAGTGGTTCAAACCCACTAGCTGTACCTTGGAAACCCTAGACAGTATCTTTCCAAGTCAGAATCGACTGGATGGCACTTTAACTTAACAACTTTCCTTTTACCCCCAAATCAGTCTCTTTCTCTCTACTGTGTCTTCTGGTGAATGAATATAATCACCATGCCAGGGACTTCTATCCACAATTCCTTTTTCACCTCTAACATGTCATCATCAAGTGTTCAGAAATGATGGTGCAAATCTTCTTTTATCCATCATCATTTTCTGAACTCCTTTAACTTCCTAACTCTTGCTCCCATTCTCATTTTTTCTTCATTACGGGGCCACAGCCCTTCCTAAACTCCAGTTATAGCACTCCCCAGACTAAAACTCATCCCCACAGTTCGCTCACTGAGGAGCCAACATATATAATAGGGGTGCCACCACCCTGCACCCCTATTCCAGCTATACTGCCTGGTGGTCCCTGAGAGAGGAAGGCTGTTTTGTATCTCTTTAATCTCTCACCTCTTCTCTGCATTTGGAAAGGTCTTTCTTCAATGGTTTATCTGCCAAAAGGAGGAGACATTTATAAGACTCAGTCTGATGGTCCCTTCCTTTGGAAATTGTCCCTAATTAAGTTAGCATAGTCTTTCAGGTTAGCGTAGTTTCTTGTATGTGTGTGTATTAAAAAGCATTCACTCATGTCATTATTTTTACTGGTTTCTCTCCAGTTAGTCCATAAGTACCTCAAGAACACACACAAGGTTATGTTAATTTTTGTAACAACCACAGCCTTTTAGGCAAGTAGTTGCTGTAATTGTTGTTAACTGCCATTGAGCCCGTTCCAACTCATAGCAACCCTGCATGGGGTTTCCGAGAAGCGGCTGGTGAGTTTGAACCGTCACCTTGTGGTTCAAACCAACCTTGGGGTCCAGTGCTTACCCTACAATGCTACACAGTAAATCTAAGGCAAGTAGTAAGTGGTAAAAAATGCTTGATTAATGAGGTTTTCTTCTTTCTCACTCAGAAGTAAACTAATATCTATGTTCTTGTTTGGCTTTATATTAAAAATTCACATGTAATGTTGTTAGATGTCGTTTGAGTCGGTTCCAAGCCATAACAACGCTATATAGGGTTTCTGAGGAGCAGCTGATGGGTTTAAATGACCAGTCTGACAGTTAGCAGTCCAGTGCTTATCCTATAGTGCCACACCAGGAATTCTCATTAGTAATAAAACCTTATGAATTCTCAAAATAAATATACGTATGTTTTATTCAAAACTTTGAATATATATTTATATTTATATATAAATTTACATTAATAAAACTCAAGAAAATAGTCTCATGATTTCTATAGCACATACAACTCTCTTATTTTATTCAAAACTATAATTGTATATATATATATATATATATAATTTCTTTGTAAAGTCTAAAAGTATAGACTTTCTATAATTACAAACACCTTATTTAGCTTACGTTCCACAGAGCATTTCTAAGTATTTGATGTAAAAATACTATAAACATCTGTGATTATACCATAGAGCTGTATGGAGATTAACTGTAAGTATTTTAGAGTAAGCATTTTATATGGGGGGGGGAACAATAGATTTCTCCCAGTTTCTTGGTTCTGTGATAAATCCATTCACTTGGGTTTGCCCCTTTATATAAATGTTCACAAATCGGTTGGTTAACTGGTCAGATTGTCCACAAGTATACAAATCCCCTTGTATGGAAAATCCTGTGTTCAGATGAACCATTCAACCTGATTTGGAACATGGACATCTATACTTTGTGTCTATTCTTCAATTCTCTTCCACAGAAAGGAGTAGACAAAGAGTTTTACCTGCTTGCCACAATATTTGATGAAAATAAAAGTTATCTCTTGGATGAAAACATCAGAACATTTACCACACAGCCTGAAAACGTGGATAAAGAGGATCCAGACTTCCAAAACTCTAACATGATGTACTGTAAGAGAAACTTAATTTATAAAATAAATAAATAAAGTAGTTACCTAATTTCATCCCGCCTAAAGAATTACAGATTGCTTAAGAGAGATTTGTATGTTCCATCCAATGACTAATACAATGCATGTTACATTAAGTCTAATTTTCCCAATGAAATATTATATACTAGAGTGGTTATTTTGCATTTAATTTACTAAGTATTTACCAATATACCTTTGGTATTACCCATTTTCATCAAGTTGATTCCAACTGAGAGTGACATATAGGACAAACTAGAACTGCTCTCTAGGGTTTCTATGGGAGCACACGGCCTCATCTTTCACCCATAGAACATCTGCTAAGTTTGAACTGCCAACCTTTTGGTTAGCATCCCAACGTTTGCCCACTATGGCACCATGGCTTCTGGTAGTACTATGGGTTAGGCCTTGGGCTGTTGACCACAAGTTCAATGATTTTTACTTTGGGATAAAATATTTACAGTCTAAAAAGCCCTACAGAGCAGTTCTACTCTGTCCAAAAAGGGTTTCTATGAGTTCAAAGCAACTCAATGGCAGTGACTTTGTTTTGGTATTGTTGTTAAGTGGCATCGAGTTGATTTTGACTCATAACAACCCTGTTTAGGGTTTCTGAGGAGCAGCTGGTGAGTTTGTACCACCAACTTTACAGCTCAAATCAACCTTGTGGTCCAGCACATTATCCTACAGAGCCACAGCAAAACTCCTAGAATTGTCATTTGATAAATGAGGGAGGGTGGTAGTATGCCATTGACTTTGGTTTTGACTGATAGTGATCCTGTATAAGGTTTCTAAGATTGTAAATCTTTACAGAGCAGAAAAACTCATCTTTCTCCCATGGAACAGCTGGTGGTGGATTTGAACTGTTGACCCTAAAGTTACCTGCCCAAGGCATAACCACTATACCGCCAACTCTTAATGAAAGGAATTAAATCAGATGATCTAGTGAAAGTATCATGTACTCTGACATTGTACAATTCTATAATGCCATTGAGCCCCTCAATGGAATGACAAAATAGTAATACCAAACCCACTACCATCTAGTTAATTCTGATTCCTGTTGTTGTTGATGTAAGGTGCAGTTGAGATAGTTCTGAGTTATGGTGATTTTATGCACAACAAAACAAAATACTGCCCTGTCCTGCATCATTTTCCTAAACATTGTTACTCTTGAGCCCTTGGCTACTGCCACTTTGCCAGTCCATCTTGTTGGGGGTCTTCCTCTTTTTTTGTGACCCTCTACTTTACTAAGCATGATGTCCTTCTCTAGGGATTGGTCCCTCCTGATAACTGGTCCCTCCCAAGGAGCATTCTGGCTATAATTTGTCCAACACAGACTTGTTTGTTCTCCTGGAAGCCCATGGTACTTTTAACCTTATTCTCCAACATCACAACTCAAATGCATCATTTCTTCTGCAGTCTTCCTTATTCATTGGTCAACTTTCACATGCATATTAGGCTGTTGGTTTGGGTCAGATGCACCTTAATCCTCAAACTGACATCTCTTCTCTTGAACACTTTAAAGAGGTCTTGTGCAGCATTTGATTTATTAGCTACTACTTCCATGAATGCTGGAGAAAGATGAGGCTTTCTGCTCCCATAAAGATGTATACACTCAGAAACACCATACAGGATGGCTCTGAGTTGAAACTGGCTCCACAGCACATCACCACCACCAACACCACTTCCATGAGTGTTGATAGCAGATCCAAGCAAAATGAAGTCTTTGACAATGGCAATCTTTTCTTCACTTTTCGTGATGTTGTATGTTGGTCCAGTTGTGAGGGT